CAAAGCCGAAAAGAAAGAAAAACACTTTGACATTTGATAAAGTCTAAGAACACGTGTTGGCTACATAACTATTATTCGCGTTTTGTTGGGGTATTGCGTATTGTTGGGGTAAGAGAAACGGTACTTACAGGGTTAGAGAAACAGTATGTTCCTCTTCGCTGATATCAGGGGTGATAAACATTATGATGTTTTAATAGTTTTAAATAACAAAGACAAAATGTAATTATAGTAAACAAATTACAAAAACGCCAATATACAAAAATCATAAAATGTCAATTATAAATTCTAAAAAGGGTAAAGGCACTGGAAAAAAAGTCAAGTAAGTTTGAAGGAAAATATGAAAAGAAAAAATACAGAAAAAGATATTCATCTACCAGCGTATCCGATTGCGTCAGCTTGCATGATGATTCTGATATTGTAGACTTGATTGATGAGGACTCAGACTTACTTGAGGAAGACTTTGACATTATTAGAGATTTAGATTACATAAACTTTATTCCAGACCTTAAAAATAATAACATTATAGATGAAAAAATCAAAGCAACAGAGACTGTTAGTGGATCAGAAATAAGGACAATAGAGGCGGAGTCAGTTCTTCTTACAAATAAATAAAATTGAAGTGTCTGTTTGTAATGTCAAAATTACAGCGTTTTACTAAATAATACAAAGTATAAACGGGACTTATAACAAAAATACACTTTTTTAAACTTTTTTGTCTGTCTGTCTGTCTGTCTGTTTGTTCCGGCTGATCTCCGAAACGGCTGGACCGATTTTGACGGGACTTTCACAGACATAGCTGATGTCATAAGGATTAACTTAGACTACTTTTATTATAAAAATAATTAGGATTCCTTGCGAAAAAATTAAAACCCTAAATTGCACGTGGGTGAAGTCACTGGGAACAGTTAGTTAGTAATATAAAAGATGGAAGAAAAAAGGTGACAGATGTTTGTGAATCAGAAGGAAGGAAAATGGTGGCAGAAGCAGTTGATAGCAACTGGATGAGAAAATAGAGGAGGAAGGATGTAAGGAAATGAATTATACAATTAAAACAATGTGATGGTCAGGTACTACACAAGAAATAAATGGACATATTATATTGGCTATACAGGGTATTTTTGGAACGCTCCCGAAAACTAATACAGGCGACAGCACCAAGTATACCTTTGATCATGGGTCACAAATAAATTCGATCCTGATGAAAAAAAAATCATCTTTTAACAACGTTTTATTAGCTTTATTCACGCGCCATCATGTTAGTACAGCTAAATGAAACGATAATTTCATAAAAAATATCATGAAAATACTGAAACATAAAACCAGCAGTGGAATGACTGAATTGTATCACCTGACTAAAGGTCAATGTACTCGCGAACGCAAATTCGCGCGGCCCGCAACTAGCGGGCCATACCACTACATACGCTAATGAAAAAATACTTAAATGAAATGTAACCAAGGTTGGAGTCATGCGTTTTTATTCATCGTGTAGGTATGTTTATTATTCTCATGTATTCAGTTATGTACCTGACCTATTCAGATTAGTTCAGTACTAAGTTATTTAAAAAAAATAGTTATGAAACAGCTTACCGCTCTAAATCCTCCGTGGTCTTATGAGATGCAGCTCAAATTGTGCTCCATTCATTTCAAGGTAGATTTGGGTGCAGGCGGGGCATCATCGTGTGGTCTTCGACACAGTCCGTACATAGTTTCTCGAAAGCATCCACGATCCTTTGGCGCATTTTGTCAGCACTATCACACTCACGATTAAAAACCCTTTCTTTCACATACCAAAAAGAAGTCTAACGGGGTCAGATCTGGTGAGCGAGGTGGCCAAGCGTGTGGTCCTAGTCTGCCGATCCAGCGATCACCAAATAGCTCATTGAGGCGCTCACGGACGAACCTCACGACATGGTATCGCTGTCTGTTCAGTCGCTATGGCAGAAACACTGGTCCCAGTATGCGATCCTTAAATAAACCTGTCCATACGTTAACCGACCATCGGGTTTGGTGCCCGGTTTGTCGAACAGCGTGCGGGTTAACCTCTGAATACACGTGTGTATTTCTTCGGTTCCACAGGCCGTTTCTGGTAAATGTCGACTCATCCGTCCAGATAATGTTCTCAATGGAACCAGGCACACGTTGTTGCTGATATAATAACCAACGGCAGTATAATAACCACTATAAACGTACGCGTTAGGCATTATTAAAACAAAAAAGAATCCAAAAACGTAACAAAAACTTTAATATCAACACGTAATCACAAGTAAATTTATTAAACAAAACGATTGAACTGTCGCTCGCGCACGCGTGTACAAAATCAACACGAAACTGTCTCAAAAACTAAAACCAACGAACCCCGTCAAGGCTGAAAATTACTGCGTCACAAGCGTGAGGCGACAGGGTTAGGCATTCTGCCGTCATAATAAAAAAGGAAGTAACTAACAAAAACGTAAAATGGAAATAAAAAATAAATTGATGAATTTTTCTTTCAGACCCCGTGTCTAAAGTATATTAAAAGGTATCTATATTGAAATATATACGTAGAGACATGAAGATTTTAAGAACGAACTTATTTTTTTTTTAAATTTGTTTATTTATTTAAATAAAACGAATTTTCCTTTTCATCTTAGCTTAAAAAATACACCTGGCAACACAAAAACATCGAAGGAAAGACGCATATAACTATTTGCGTCTTTCCAACCTAATAAATTAAAAAAAAACTGCCATTCATTTAACAATTTTACATATTTTGGAAAGGTCATTTGAAGTTGAAAGGACGCTAATAGTAATTTACTACTTTTTTTTTTTAATAAATATTAGAAAAGCATTGGTAGTGAGACACAAAAAATAATAATTTTAAAAAGTAATGATTTTAAAGGGGATATCATACAAGACTTACTACGATAATAATTAAAAATTAAAAATTTTGTACAACCGACTTTAATATAAATAATTAAGGATAACTCAAAAACTATTGGTCTGACCTCGATCAAATTTATATGGGACCACATGTGAAACACCAGCTCTTAACAATAAGATATAGAATAATAAGACAAGACCAAGAATAATTGAAATTTAAGTAATCGATGCAAATATTGTTAAAGATGACGTAGCAACTGGTTAAATAAGTCTTTTCTTTTATGTTGAATTTGTATAAGTCTTTTCTACTAAAAAAAAGTCATCTGTGATCAACAGTTACGTCTAAAATTCTTACGATAATTTCTAAAATATTGATATTTGTGAATATTAAAAAAATTTAGTAGATGCGCCTTCTTATCATGAATCGAATGGTATATTTAACTCATTTATTCATAAATTGTTAGATGCGCCCTTTTTTCTTACGACCGCGTGTTTCGTACCGAGCTAGATACAGGTCGATAGCGGAGGGGGTGTGGGTACAATCGCGTTCTAAAGTACTACATGGTATTGGGCTATTGTTTTATAATATTATAGTAATTAATTGTTTTAATGTAGAATCATAATAGGTGTTTTACTAGCTACTTAGAACTTTGGAAGAGGTGGGAATTAAAAATGGATAATGTTTACATGAGCATTATTTGTTATTTCTATCGTAAAATATAAAGTAGTTTGTAACAAGAAAACTTTAGCTAAGGGTAACACGCCGTCCATTATGACGTCTTGGGTCACATGGAAGCCAGATGTTAATGGTGTGTTGGTGTTACTGGATGCTACTTGATCATCACTTTCATCTTCGCTTGAGCTTCCGTCATCAGGTCGATCACATGGTAATTTTTTCGGTATTCTTCCTCCACACTTTTAACTTTACTGCACAATTTTCCCCATTCACCTTCTCCTATCATATTTACCTTTTCGATCACTAGTTTAGTCATAAAACAATAGATATAAATAATTTTTCTTTCCTTCCTTTTTAAAACATCGTCGCGAGTCGCAAAGTAAGCTGTGTATGCGACTGTATTTTTGGAGCGAACAAAGCGCGGGAACCAATAGCATGCAGGCACACTAATACTGGCGGATTGTTCCCCCGTCGCGCGCCTTTCGTACCAATATGTGATAAATCGCTCAGTGCCCAAGTTCAAGGCCAGCGTTTGTTTTTCACCGTTCGCGCGTACATTAACCTCCATTAGTCAGGTGATATCAATTCAGTTTCCACTGCTGGTTTTATGTTTCAGTATTTTCATGATATTTTTATGAAATTATCGTTTCATTTAGCTGTACTAACATGATGGCGCGTGAGTAAAGCTAATAAAACGTTGTTAAAAGATGATTTTTTTTTCATCAGGATCGACTTTATTTGTAACCCATGATCAAAGGTATACTTGGTGCTGTCGCCTGTCTTAGTTTTCGGGAGCGTTCCAAAAATACCCTGTATAACTAATATAATATCTCCACATCCTAGTTGCAGTGTTGTAGTTTATGAAATAAGGTTCTACAAAACTTACAAAAAGTTATTGAAATTTAAACTTTTTATTGAAGTTTATTAAATTGTACGAGACTGATTAGAAGTAAGAATAAAATTATAATTTGAAATACAAACAATTATTTTTTTAGTTTGTCACCCCTGACCTGAACCTGTTTATAAATATATGTTTCTCTGACCTTAAATTTAATATTTTCTTTTCCTTCAAAACTGTACCTTGTTACAATTACGTTACGATCAAATTCTATTAAATAAATTTTACTTAAAATGTAGCACCAGGTACATTTAAATAAATATCACAATCTTAGGAGATATGATGAATGTAAGTACAAGTTAAATGTTTTTGGCCAATACTGTCGTAAGTTTTCAAATTAGTGTTATGATTCTTAAAACAAGAAAAGCTGATAAACTAAGGCAAGTTTAATGTAGCTCAAAATTCTTATAAAACATTATATGTTCTTCCTAGAGCTCAAAACCTCGGGCTCAAAATAAACTATGTTCCTCTTACCCTAACTGACCTTAAAAAATATTATTCTATCCTTACATGCCCTTAATAAATACACAAATAAATAAATAAAAAACATTGCTTTGATAAACTTACCTCCAAGTACCTGTAAGTGCTAAACTTTCCCATATCAGGATAAAAGTAACATCACAACCTAAGATAGTTTAAATATTGAATTTACAATAAGAATACATTCAAAATACTGACTCGATAAGTCAATGGTAAATAAAACGGTGGTATATTTAAATGCACTACCAATATAAGTATATAAGTATATACTATAATTCAAGAAAACTAAAACGTAGCAGTTTTCACACTGCGAAGAAAACCTTTATTTTGACCGTATCATTTCCATCTGTCACATTAGTAGTAACGATTACTATTTTATCCTCCAATACCTATCCATAATATCCTATCACTTGTAAATTCATATCAATTTAAAACATAATTTCCTAGAATGCAAAGAATACAATCACCTGAAACCCTAAATTAATATTATTATAAATCACAGAACACAATCACTCTCTACCAAGAAATATAAAATAATAATAAATTAAATATCCTGAAACTGAAATGCGAAAACAGTGTTGTCATCGTACAAATCTGCTGTACCGTATTTTAAGGAAAATATTACAAAATTGCCGTTTTTTTAATAATTTATTTTAAATATTCATATCTATTCCTCATTTGTTTTCTTACCGTAAAGGTATTTTATCGTTTCTATCACTTCAGATGCATGTTTATCGAGTGAGTATTTGCCCTTACTTCTCATTTTTTTACAAATTTCTAACCCTAAATATTTTATTTACATACTTTTTGTTTTTCATTACTTTGTTGTGGCTTTTAGTTGAATTGTAAATGTTAAACGTAATAAAAAAAATATTTTTTTAACAATCTGATATAAACCACATATATTATATACATAATCTCTCACGTTTTAATATATCACTATCAATACTATAAATGTTTATTTCGAAATCAAAATATTCGCAAAATTTTTGCTCAACCAATTCAAGAAATGTGATAAATTTTTGAGATATATGTATGTATTTATTTATTTTATTTGTACTTTTTATTGCACGCAAAATATTACACAACACAACAAACTTAAGTGAAAATTAATTAATATATTAAGTATGTATGATATATCTACCTACCACAGTAAAAATAATAAATTATAATCAATTACCATTACATTAGGCAAAAAGTGTACCTATTAATTAGCCCAGTTGTATAAAGATTTATATCTGTTCCGTTGTTATACTTATGTGGTACATATGTTTCGTTTCATTCATTACACTAGTAAAAAAATTTCACTAATGAAACAATTTCTGTATTTTGTCATACGGCAATGAGAGGCCTGCCGTCGAAAAAAAAACGTGAATTACGCCTAAAACGGCAATTGCCGTAGCAATGGCAACAGAAAGCGAATACCTAAAAATCTCTACCTACGTTTAATTTGTAGATACAAAACATAGAAAAATAAATACGACGCCAGCTAGTCCAAAATAACTTTTTAATTTAATAATTATGTATGTTTTAAAAAAATTACTTTACTCTCATAGACTTAATACGTAAGTATCATATCAGTTTAGAATATACTGGTGAATAGACGACCTGACAGCCCGAAAACGCGTGACCAATTTTGATTTGTCATTGTATGCGTTAACTAGTGATGTGCATTTTACTTACAAGGACTATCGAAAAATGATAGTTAAGGAAGCGGTGAAAAGATTTGAAAAAATTGTTTAGTGCATGAAATTGAATAACTTCAAAAATTAACTGAATATTTAACATGATAGTTCTAAAATAATTAAATAAATATTCATATAACATGTTCCCGGGAATAAGCTGAACCTACTTGCCTTTTGTTGGATTTTAATTTAAATGTATAAAATCCCAGGTGACTCTACCGATAAACTTAAAAAATTCCCCAAGAATCTGATCGGAAAGTTGTATTTTCGAGCTATGATATCTGGAGAAAAATATTTACTGCCATAGAGAGTTTCCTTGGAATATATTTTTTAACAAATTGTTTATATAATACTTAACTAAGTATATAGCTATTTATATTTTATAAAATGTTTTGATGGGGAAATAAAAAACGGGGACACGTAGTACAGAATGGCTGCTTTATTTTTCATATAAGTATTACTTTCGATAATTATAAACATTTAATTTAGTAATTATTAAATACATTATAGAAGTTTATTTTAACATTCAACTTAAATATGAATGTAAGCTCAGTTGAATAAAATTGCTCTGTTTAAAGGCCAATATGGTTTTGAGGCTTCATCATGCTTCATGTTTATATTCTTTCATCTGTCCCTGAAAAGTATAAAGTAATAAAAAACTTATTACATTTTAGCTACATGAATTTTAAAAACATAATGATCTTAACACAGTAAAATGCACCAAATTTCAGAGGATATAGATGCACTCTCTATTCTCTCAATCTCGATACGTTAAGAAAATGGTCACTAATTCATGGACAAACCGCGGCAAGTGCAACTTAATCGCGCAGATCTATTAATCCGCGCAGCTATTACTTAACTACGAGTTCCTCTTCTCTACGGCTAAAGCTGTAGGCGATGAACCAAGCTATTTAAGCCCTCGGCACAATGTCGTCGGCCATCAAGCATGTATCGGGCATCGAGCGTTGTGAGTATCATATACTACGGAATTTATACTATCGCGTCTCATGCGCGGTCGTCTAGTGGCGCTTCAGGAGCATTACTAAATATCTATACCTAACTACACTAAAAGTTTTATCATTGTGATTTGGGAATATAATCCGAAGCTCCGCTCAACCCCTTGGGGAAAATAGCGTAATGCTATGAATATTGCACTAGTTTGGTCTTGAAACTGGGCTGCTGGTTAAGTAAGGTTATACATTAGCGATGGGCAATTGTTGAAAAAAAAAGCAATCGACTGAATTAAAATTGTTCTATTGCGCATTCGATTGTCAATTTAGTAGTTCCTCACCATGATTATTCGAATAACAATCGACAAACTACTAATTGTACGCACATCGCACACTGCAACTCATGCGAGTGCGCTGTGCGTCGATGCAACGACGTGTGCTTGTGCGTGCGGTGAACTGCGGAAGGCCGCGCGGGCCGATGAGTGCGGGATAGTGTTGAATGCATCGATTGTTTTAAGTATTACATAATATATATTTTAATTTGTTTACTTTAGTTGTTTATTGACTTGTTTAGAGAAAGGTCACGCGCGGGTTATGAATGATTGGCTTGACGCAATGCCAAAAAATCATAACATAATGTAAATATTGAATTAATAAACTCTTAAATACGCTTAGCTGAATAAGACTTTTTAATACTAGAGAGTCATGTACCTATTAAAGTATGAAGAAATGTTTATTGAATGAAAATTTCATGCATGAAATTTAAACAGTAAAATTAACATCAAAAATTTAAAAATAAAAATTCAATACAAAAGTAAGTAATATTTTTAACTGGTAATTTTATCTGATAAAAAATTACAAATAAATAAATTTAACCATTAAGGTGAAAGCTCCAGGGTGGCCTGCGAAATTCAAATTTTCTTGCATTTTTTGGAATTTGCAGGTTCGGGTCAGGTTGAATGTTTAATAAAATATGAATGACGACCGTAACGAGTATGTGTTTATAGAATTATTACTACTACTGGTGATTTTTTTAACTTTAATGTACGATAGTTTTATAATGTATAAAAATCTGTCTCTATTTTATCTAAAGCTTTGAAAGTAAAATTTTTGAAATTTTATTATAACAATATAATACATACTGGTATAAATAATGTAAAAATGACTCCTTTTCATAAAATTATTCTTATTATACTTTTTTTTTCTATTTATAGAATTTTACTATTATATAAATAGAAAAAATAATATATATTAAATTAACGTTTTTTTTCTATATATAGAATCCGGAGGGACTCTGTTTGACAAACGGCAAAATAAAATTATATTTTAGAACGCAAACTGGGGATTTATTTTCTTGTTGTGTGGGCAAGTCTATTGATTCATTATAAACATTCAAGATAAATATCAACATTAATTTTGAATTGTTGAGTCAATCCCCAGTGCACATGTAAAATATTTTGTATAAAAAGTATTAATCAATTTCATGCAAATTATCAAGAACGTGACTTATTTCTTTGCAAAATATCAAAATTAACTAAATAATTGAAATCATTCTATATTTTAAACAGTATATTACATAAATTTCAACCAAAAATAAACGCGTCATAACATTGACGACGTCTTGAGAGTTTATCTGTGAAATGTGCAATTATCAGGATTATTTCTATTATTAACACCACAGGCACTCACAGAACAAGTAACAATTTTGGTAAAAAATTACTTACTGAAAATAATCACTATTACACTCAAAAAAATTATAAAATATCTAGGAGCTATTTCATGCGTGCCGACTTGTGCCGAACTGTCATTCAAAATCGGTAAAAGAGTCATAAGATATGGTATACTTTTCTATTTTGCATTTTTGCCATAAGGAATTTTCTTCTCCCTTACTCAATATGTCGGTCTATACGCCAATATACGCCAGTATATTTTAAGTCTATGTTTACTCTTCACTCTGTCATTGAGTATAGATTAACAAAATATATACGCTGTCAAAGAGTACATTATGTACATACACAGAAGTAAAAACATTTTTTTTCAACAAGATAATTTTTAATTACTACAAAAAAATACCAGAAAATCCCAAATAACTTTGTGACACTTTTCTACCGAGTTCAAAAAGGAGAAGGTACTCAATTCGACTGTATGTTCTTTTTTATGTGTGTTACCTCATAACTTTTTTCTGGGTGAACCGATTTCGATGATTCTGTATTTTCTTGAAATCTAGTGCTTCTTATGTGGTCTCAGATAGATTTTAATACATTATAAAACTGTAGAACATTAAAAATGAAAATTATTGAGAATTTAAGCCATTATGAACCTAACTAATTTTCTATTTATCAACCAAAAAAGAAATGTCAAACCGAAACCGGTCACACTACTACAGTATTCATATATCATCAAGCTTTTTCCCCTATGGTGTTGGGAATATAATCCGAACGAAGCTTCGGATTATATTCCCAAGTCACAATGATAAAACTTTTAG